AAAGAAAAGGAAACCTGGAGGCATCACAATTCCGGACCTCAAGCTATATTGCAAAGCTACAGTGATCAAAACAATATGGTACTGGCACAAAAACAGACACATAGATCAATAGAACAGAACAGAGAACCCAGAAATGGACCCACAACTATATGGTCAACTAATCTTTTTTTTTTTTTAAGAGAGAGAATGTGTGCAAACATACGGGAGGGGCAGAAGGGTAGGGAGAGAGAGAATCCCAAACAGACTCCACACTTGGTGCAGAGTCTGATGTGGAGCTCGAACTCACGACCCTGAGATCATGACCTGAGCCAAAATCAAGAGTCAGATGCTCAACCGACTGACCCTCCCAGGTACCCCATGTTCAACTAATCTTCAACAAAGCAGGAAAGAATACCCAATGGAAAAAAGACAGTCTCTTCAACATGAGGTATTGGGGAAACTGGGCAGCAACATGCAGAACAATGAAACTGGACCATTTTCTTACACCATATACACAAAAATAAATTCAAAATGGATGAAAGACCTAAATGTGAGACAAGAAACCATCAAAATCCTGGAGGAGAACACAGGCAGCAACCTCTTTGACCTCGGCCGTAGCAACTTCTTACTAGGTATGTCTCCTGAGGCAAGGGAAACAAAAGCAAAAATGAACTATTGGGATTTCATCAAAATAAAAAGCTTCTGCACAGCAAAGGAAATAATCAACAAAACTAAAAGGCACCTACAGAATGGAAGAAGACGTTTGCAAATGACATATCTAATAAAAGGTTAGTATTCAAAATCTATAAAGAACTTCTCAAACTCAACAGCTAAAAACCAAATATTCCAGTTAGGAAATAGATAGAAAATATGAAGACATTTTTCCAAAGACATCCAGATGGCTAACAGACACATGAAAAAATGCTCAACATCACTCATCATCAGGGAAATACAAATCAAAACCATGAAGAGATACCACCTCACACCTGTCAGGATGGCTAAAATTAACAACACAGGAAACAACAGGTGTTGGCGAGGATGTGGAGAAAGGGGGACCCTTTTGCACTGCTGGTGGGAATGCAAACTGGTGCAGCCACTAGAAAACAGTATGGAGATTCCTTGAAAAGCTACAAATAGAACTACCCTATAATCCAGCAACTGTATTACTAGGTATTTACCCAAAGGCTACAAAAATACAGATTCGAAGGGACACATGACCCCAATGTTTATAGCAGCATTCCCAACAACAGCCAAACTACAGAAAGAGCCCAAATGTTCATCGACTCATGAATGGATAAAGGTGTGTTATGTGTGTGTATATATATATGCATACACACATAAATATGTACATATATGGTGGAATATTACTCAGCTGTCAAAAAGAATGAACTCTTGCCATTTGCAACAATGTGGATGGAACTAGAGTATATTATTCTGAGTGAAATAAGGCAGTCAGAGAAAGACAAATACCATATGATTTCACTCATATGTGGAATTTAAGAAACAAAACAGATGAACATATGGAAGGGGGAAAAGGAGAGAGGGGGGAAACAAACCATAAGAGACTCAACTACAGGGAACAAACTGCGGGTTGATGGAGGGAGGTGGGTGGAGGATGGGCTAGATGGGTGATGGGCATTAAGGAGGACACTTGTTGTGATGAATGCTGGGTGTTGTATGTAAGTGATGAACCACTGAATTCTACTCCTGAAACCAATATTGCACTGTATGTTAACTAACTAGAATCTAAATAAAAATTTGAAAGAAAATCAAAAAGGAAAACATTTCCCCATAAAAAATAAATAAAATAGCTTACAATATAGAATAATAATACAGAATAAGCCAGGTAATAATAAGAATAAAGTGAGAGGACATACTGGTGAGTGAAAAAAAGAAGCCAGTTGCAGAGCCATTATGTGGAAAATCTCACATATGAATAAAAATTGATAAGAATACTAGAACAAAATATACTAAAGAACAAACACTAAAATGTTGGCTATGTCACGGGTAGTGGAATTATGGATGATTTTCATTTTCCTCTTGGTTTTTTTTTTGTGTTAACTTTTCTATAATGATCACACATTATTTTGAAAACAGAGAAAAGAGTAATAAATGTGATTTTAAAAAAGAGATACTCATTTTTAAAAAGGAAAGTGAGAAAACAAAGGTGCCAATTTGGTCTGCAGGAGACTTTATCACATTCCCTAAATGCATGTCAGGGTGGGGGCCTATAATAAATAGAGCAACAAAGCTCACATGGAAATACATGCTACACACCTGCTCTTCGTGGGCCTACATTTTGTCCCTGAGCTTTCCAGCGGCACAATTATGTCACATTGACACTGCAAATATTCTTGTTAGGCACCTTGATTACTGTACCTTTTGCCTACTGTTCACACTTCTGAGATGAAGCATGTCAAGAATAATTAGTCACTGTCCCCCACAGTCCTGTTACTGGTGCATTAGAAATGCACATAAAGGGATATAGAGGCACCTGATTATCTCATTATTCTTCTCCAACTGACACTGATATTAGGCGATTTAACTACTGCCCATAAGAGATTGGTTTTGGTTATTAAATGGGTTACTTGTATATAACACTAAAATCTGAACAACCTTCAAAAGGAAAAAAAAGACTGAATAAATTCATTTGTAATGGAGGTGATTGAAATCTTTCATGAAAATTAGCGAAGAGGCAGAAGAACTGTTCAGAGATTGGATTAAGCCTCAGAGATCTTGTAATAAGATCTCCATGTGCCAATCCCTAATTTCTCTGAGCTGATAACAAAGGAGTTTCCGTGAAGCATTTTCACAACAGCAGGTGGCTTTTGAGGGTGCAGTGTCATGCAGGTGGCGCCCCTTAGCCCTGGGCATCAGCTGGTGACGCCATCGTGGCTCCTGCCTTGCCCATCCCTCCACGGGCATCTCTCCCATCTTGGGGGTAGGGGTTTTGTAGAACACCATCCGGCCAGAGCAGTGCAGGCTGCCAGAAGCGGGTTCACGGGCAAGACTGGCTTGTGCCCACCACTGGCATGACTGAGACGCAGTACAAAGTGAGGGGTGTCACTGAGTCGGCCATCCTGAGAGTAAATCAAGCCCTCTCAGGAGCTGTGAAGACTCCTTGACGCTAGTAAAGTATCGCCTGTTTTTCTTTGTCACTTCTTTCATGTCCCAGTTGTTTGTTTTTTTTTAAGTAATCTCTACACCCAGTGTGGGGCTCAAATTCACAACCCCGTGATCCAGAGTCATATGCTCTACTGACTGAGCATGCCAGGTGCCCCTATGCCCCAGTTTTTAAGGTTTCTATCTGCCTAAGTATGTAACTGAAGGCCATAGAGTTTTTATTTATTTGTATATTTATATTTATTTATATTATATAAATATTTATATAAACAGGTATTTATGTAAATATTTACCTATTTATTATTTTAAAACCTAGTAGTCTTCAAAGAACTTTAGCAACCCTTGACATTCCTTCTTGGAAAGAGCACTGGTTAATATTACAATTGCAAAAATATTCTTGGAGGGCAATTTTGCAGGTGTCCTGTTTTGGGAATGTGACATAAGGCTTGGGAGCAATTCCAAAAATAAAGTGTATTACTAACATAATGGTGTTAAGTTGCTTTGTGTTAATTAAATAGAAGTAACACTACCCAGCATATAAAATATATACCTTTAAAATTTTAATAAATATTTATTTCTTCTGTTTCTATGAATGTTTCTGGCATACAACAGGTGAGCCACAGAAGGTTGCAGAGGGTTTTCTAGCAGGAAAATTGCTTTTCTGTTGCTTTTGAAATGCAGACATGAGCTTTGCCTGAAGTAATCTACGTTGCAGTTGGTATGTTATCAGAAATATTAAACTAAAATTCAGCATATTAGCTAAAGGGAAAGCAGAGTTCTAAAGAGGAACTGAATCTGAGTACTAGTAGGGAATGATAAAACAGTGTGGAATACTAGAAAGAGAGGCCAAGAAAGCCCACTTGGGCAGGCAGATTTATGAGCTGTTATTTGCTGCCAAGAATTTCATCTCAATAGCACTTATCAGAAAATCTTCTGTTTTTCTCCTAAGATGGTCAGCTGGAGTCCTCAGGGCTCCATCTGCTCCTGCTCTGGGTCCCCAGCAATTTATAGATCTTCATTTATTAAATCAAATTGCCAAAATAACTTTTTTCCTATTTAATACTGTGAAGGGAAATATTAATTTACAAAGTGAATATTGGGGTTCAAAGCCATTAACTTAAAAATGACTTTATACCTCGAGACAGAAAGGATGTTGGTTCATGTAGAGAAGAACTAGTGAAGTGGAGAGGTAAGCTGATAACCTGTCTTGAGCAGCAAACTGTATCACTGGGCCTGGGCTGCCAACTATGTTGACCTCTGACCATGGCCGGGCAAACAGCTAAGTCCAGTGTAAGTAGGAGTAGAAAGTAGTGCTCAGACCTCAGGCTGATTCAGCAGGGAGGGAGGCTGGGGTAAGGGAGGACAGGTGGTCTATAAACAGCAGTCGGTCTTGGAAAGTCTATTTATAAGATGGGGAGATTAGGGAAACAATTTGCCTGCTTTGAAAGCGAGTGGCAGATGCACACGATGGAGCCTCCTTCCCAGCATGACACAGCCTCATGACAAATGGTACTTCTGACTCGAGTGACATTGACACTCCTCTAGCAGATGCAAGACAGTCAAAAAACAAGGGGTGAGGCCCAAGTCTGAGAAAAGCTGCTTTTCTACTGCTGGAGAAAGCTCTGATAAAGACAATGTGTATATTACTAAAAGTGAAGTGATGAGTAACTCTCTGGAAAGGATTTCAGAATTTTCCAGTTCCCTGAAACAAACATTAACTGCTCTAAGTCAGGTTTGTCACCATGAAATATTGCAGTATGCTTTCACTTAGGTGTTAAGCTTTCCATGTGAATTCCATCTGAGTTTGAAGATGAAATCTCACCAGAAAATGAAAACTATTGACCTTTACTGAAGCGAGACAATCAGCAGGATGCTGCATGACCTCAGCACCGCCTTACCTTGTGGTGGCTATTTTTTCTCCCTTTTTCCAGTCCCAAAACACAATACTGTGAAAATCGTCTAAACCAACCGACACCAGACATTTTCCATCAGCTGTATGAAAACAACACAAATGGCAAATGATTCATTTCTTCAATGAAAAACCAAAACATTTCATATACTGTAAAGACAAATATGAAATGGGTCTTAAGAATATTATTTAGGCTACAATACATTAGAAGTATCATATACTAGTGGGACCACACTAAATGAAACACATAACTAGTAATAGTTGACCTTCCTAATGCATCATAACTGGTTGATGAATTAAATCACTGACCTAACACTCCAGTCTGAGACATGGAGCTGGGGGAAGTCTCCCAGGTACATCACAAAAACCTTGTCTATTTTATGACAAACAAATCTCATGATGTTTACTCAAAGAGCCATGTGACTTTGTGACTCAGTCTATTTTCAGCTTTAAAAAACTGGGTTCTATTTAAACCTCCAAGATAAGAGCATTATAGAAACTAAATTTAATTTCAAAAATTCTTTCAAAAGATATTATAATTAAAAATCTTAATCTCTTAGTTTCCTTATTTCAAATGTACTATGCTTATTATAGGACATTTAGGAAATATAGATAGAGGAAATTTAAAACTCATCCCAATTTTTAGGCCTACCTTTGGTGTATATCCTGTCAGTTTCTCCACATAAATGTGCTTTTAAAAAACAAAACCAGGATGATAATGAACATACTATTATCTAATCTTTTTTCTTTTGTTCTATGGTGAACATTTTCCCCTAGTATTAAATATTATTTATAATATCATCAATGACTACTATAATGTAGACACTGGGTTGTTTTAAAAAAAAAACTTAAAATACATTTCTCTGTAATTAAATTAAAAATCAAAAATAGTTAATATGCTTTTTCCCTTCAAGACCAAAGAGGCCATACAGTTAGCAAATCTTTCCCTTGCTTCCTCCTCACAAGCCAGATTCACAGGAGGAGTGTTTAGGCTCAGCGATTCCACCTTAGCTCCGTGCTGACTGGGAGATGGGTGGCCAGATTCACTATCCACCAGTTTAGCAGGTGTCTTCTGGGACGACAGAGGACCCACAATATGAGGGCAAAGAAACACAAGTATCTGATAAACTGTTTCTCCCCAGTCCACTCAGGGTCTTAACTGGTATTTTCAAAGGCAGGTCTGGGATAGATGTCAGAGTGGCCAGGTAAAATAAAGGAAGCCTAGTTAAACTGGAATTTCAGATAAGGAATGAATAATTTTAGTATAAGTAGGTCCCATGCATTATTTAAATTATGTATTTACACTTGCATTGCATGAAGCATACTTCTACTACAAATTTATTTGGCTTCCTGTATTTCAATTTGCTAAATCTGGCAACCCTCTCCAGATGCCAACCAATGCCCAACCTGTGAGTACCGTTCCTTGTGCCAGACTGTCCCCCAAGCTACCAAGCTTCCTTCTCCAAAGGCAGGAGCAGAGTCAGAGAAAGGAAGAGCCTGGCTTAACAAACAAATTCTCCTCAATCCTGGACTACTACTAAGTATGAGACAAGGCTTTGAAAGGTACATGAACCCCTTCAAGCTATTAGGCTCAGTATCAGAGGAGACATTCATGCTTTCCAAAAGTGTTAAATTATCATCAAGTGATTACGATAAACAAATGTGTCTTCTGAATCACTTCTAAGTCCTTATGCTTAACCATGACCAGGCTTTAAATTGTGCACGGTCTCTTTCTAAACGTTTGGGAGAGGGAAGTGATGATAAGGGCTTCCTATTCATTACCAACATGACTCTTTCCGTACCTCTTGGGATGGCCTGGTTCTGTTTCTGTAGTAGTATGTCTCTGTATTTTGGTGATTTTATTTATTTATCGGAGATTCCGCTCTTTTTTAGATTATAAGCTCTGCTAAGGCTTATGGTAATCGTATCACATTTCCTCTGTGATCCTCCCACTAAACTAGTTTCCAGTGAACACTGAGGATACTGGCGACAATGAAGAGGTAAAGATAAAGATAGAATGTGTGTATGGGGGCGCCTGGGTGGCTCAGTCGGTTAAGTCTCCAACTCTTGGTTTAGGCTCAGGTCATGATCTTGGGGATTCTAGGATTCTAGGATCGAGTCCAGCAGTGGGCTCCCTGCTCAGCGGGGAGTCTGCTTCTCTCCTCTCCCTCTGCCCTTCCCCTGCTCACACACTCTCCCTCTGAAACAAATAAATCTTAAAAAAACAAACAAAAAAGAATGTGTGTATGGGTAGTAAGAAGGGAAAGACAATGTGCTATGTTATCTAGCTCTACAAATTTTAATTGTTTTAATTATTATTTCTTTCAAAAACATGGCACTTTCAGTGTCTCTTTTTTTCCCATTTATCAAATCTACATTTTGTGTTTCCTTTTGTAACCTGTGTAGCTATATTAACATGTCCTTAGAAGGCAAGCATCCACACATTTAAAATGACGGTTCAAGTTTTGTGTCTTTTGAAGAAAGTCTCAGGGTAAATTAATTTTTTTTGGCTTTTTATTAGCATTTCTGAAAGGCCCTATTAGCTTGTCTTCATAGTTACATTCCTTTCTACCTCAATTCATGACTATGAGGAGAAATGAAGAAACAGTCCAAATCCAGATGCACCTCAACAACCGTAACACCTCTTCTTTAGGATAGTGACCTTTTCTTAAATTCTGCAGGTGTAGGCTATTTCTGCATACCACATGGTTCAGAAATATAATTGGACACCTTTTTATCTTTTCCTAGTTTTCACCCTCCTCCACCGTCTTCCAAAGAGACTTGGATTTAGCTTTGAAAATCCATTGTTCCTTGACCAGCTGGAGTTTTTTTATTTTCAGCCATATTTTTAGAGCCAAGGTAATGTCCTTTTAAATCTTTCCAGTCACAGTGTGTATTAATTATGGATATTTTGTGACACAGTCCAGAAATAATTCTAAGGCACTTAATGTCAACAGTAAAGGGCATAGTGGAAAGAGAAAATTTCTACTCAATTACAAGTTGGTCCCTGCATTCAGGGCTCATAAAAAATGCACAGATTTTCAGAATTGAACATAGTGAAATCCAGTCAGTCTTAGAGGTGTCCTTGTGGAGATCAGTATTATTCAATGAAGATTTTAAAAAATATGAGTAGGATATTAAACTAAAAAAAATTATGTGGCTGAAACTTTCTAATCTGGTTTTCTATTCATGTGGAAGCACCTTCTGTCCTGTAAGCACAAAATCAAAGATGGCTCCATTTTCCCTAGCCAGTGGTAACAAATTCACAGAGCAAAGAGTTGCTCAATTAAGTGAGATAATGTAAACTCATTCCTTCTTGTTTACATAGAGTTATGGGTTATGTTGTAAGAAATGCTTTTCATTAAAAATGTCTTTTTTTTGCTTTGTAACAGTGGCAAGAATAATCTAAACCCCCACATATGACTGTTTGTTGCCTAGTTTTCACATTTATTTGTTACCTGCTCTGTATTTCCCTGACAATTGCTTTTTCTAGTAAGGGACAAATGTACTATCAGGTCTCCACAACACCTCCCCAGATGAGCTGGCTTATGAGAGATGGATGGATACGGGGTCCTGAGGTACACAGATGGTGCCACCAGCTAGGTAATGACCAATGTTGGTGCCCTGTTCATGTGGTTCAATAGGGAAATCTAAGTAATATCTCTTGGCACGTAGACTTAAGCTACTCACTTTTCTATCACTCTTCAAAAGAAAGGTATAGTTGCTCCTGTTCCTATTCACATAAATGTGTGATTCAGGGCTGTTCTAGGACAGGGCTCTCTTTTTATTGGGGGCTGTTCATGTGGCAGCCTGTGTGTAGCACTATGCCCATTCCCCCTTTATACTGGCAAGTGGGGGCGGGGCAACTGGAGACACTTGCCTTTGGGTAAAGGGGGGACACTGAGCGCTCCAGGTATGACTCTCATGCTCAAAGTTTGCACTGGCCCTGATGGAGGGCAGAGTCAGGAGTAGGCAAGAGGACTCAGTGGGGAGAGTTCCTGGTATAGCTCTTGCCAGCTCAAAACCCCAGGCTTGGTGGCCTTCTCACTGCACTGAGGCCAGGAGACCTGGGTTCTAGATCAGGATCCGCCACGGTCTGACTTCTACCCCAGCCATACCACCAAACTCTCTGGATCTCCATTCTTGGTCTAGGACATGACACAGGGCTTTCAGTTTTATCATTATCACACAAAGTACTATCAATATAACTTAAATCAAAGAAACCTCTGCTCACACCTTCAGGAGGTGCCAGAGAGATCAAAAAGATCAACCAACCACCATAATTTGTCTCATGTAAGGGTTACACATTCAAAGAAGGATCAAACAGAAGAGATCCTAGTCAAAGGTCTTTCTGAAGGGTCCTTAACAGTAGTGCTTTCTAAAACTATCAACTAGCTTCCTTTCTGCCATTTATGTATCATCACTGTACTTGAACTCTGAGACAAACGTAATTTTCCACAATAAAAAATAACACATTTGCTGAACAAATATGGCTCCTCCCTAGTCATTGTTAAGGGCAATAAAGAATGTATTGTTGAAACTGAAATATCCTTTTTATGCAGAGAATATTTCATATCTCAGTATTTATTTGCCCAAGATAGGAATTAGAAGAAGTGACAGAATCAGCTTCTCAACCTCTTTCTAAAGCATCTGGTTTCTCTCCCCAGGCAATTGATGTGAGGGGCTGCCTTACGAGGGAAACATTTCTAAATTCACTTAATCTCTTCACCTTTCCTTCCTGCAAAACTATTAGGCCCAGAGGAAAGAGGACTTCTCGGAAATGCAGAGGTCAAGTTACGGGAGACCAGCTCATTGCTACTAACTCATCTCTATTCAGTGTCGTTGATCTACATTCCTTTAATCCCTTCCCTAAGGGTATGAAGTAACAGGCATTAGATCTTTTGATCTTTATTTAAAAACCATGAAATTAATTCTACAGAAAAAATATTCTAATGATTATTAAATTCTATTTATATTATTCTAAATTTCCTGCCACTCTGCTTATACATTAATACACATATTCACATTTCCAGTGGAAATCAGTGAATAGATGCTATTTGAGTTCTATTTTTCTTACACTTAACTTGATACATAGAAATATGTATGAAATACACATAGTCCACGTACTTGTCATTTTGAGTTATAGCTTTTATTACATGGTGCCAAATTATCTGCTGGAGTTATAGAGTCAATTTTTAATGTTGCCAAAAATATGAATATTAGATTCTCTATAACTTAATACATTCATGTTTTATTTTATTTATTTTTGCTAATGGGTCTCTCACTATTCTTTAGAGCATATTTAGTAATATAATTTTTATATTAAGTACATACATATGTATTGGCTAGCAGAGTTAATTTTAGGAAAAGGGCAGCTGAGCTATTGAGGAGAAGAGTCATGAAAAAAAGCAGAGGAAATTCATTCACATCCTTGGAAGAGAACCATGTCTGAACTCAAATTATGGTTTCCTTTCAGATTTTACTGCTTTATGAAGGACATACGACACTCTATTTTAAAACTGTAGGTTTATCAAACTTCTGGAAGTTTAGGACTTTGTATTCACTGTTACTGGGTGTGTTATCCAGGCTTCCCATGGGCAGGTGGCATGCCGAACTGTTCTCTATCCCTTGGTACTCATGCCTTCCCGACCTCACGTGCCTGCCAGTGTGCAGTAGGGACTCTTTAGCCTGGAGTTTTACTAGTTCAATAACCACAGAAAGTATCAAATAACCTCTAATAATGATCCAACAATTTGGATTTGTATAGTAGTTTACAGTATGTGAGGATGTGCGAGTCACAAAAAAATCCCCCCTCACTGCCCCATGTTACTGCAGGTCAAAACATAAACGAGATTATTTTCACGTGTAAACACGGTTTACAATGTGAGGTTCTAGTACTAATAGTGACGGGTGAGACAAGTGAATGAGGCAAAACCTCATTCATTCCTTCACAGTTTTGGAGTCGCTTCTGTGTCTGCAGCACTACAACATGCGCAGTGGGGAGGAGGGAGACGGGCTCTGCTGGCTGAGCAGGTTATTGTACGAGAAGGGCATTAGCACAAACAGCTACTGTACTACATGGAGTCCAACAGGGAGCACAAGAACAATGAACCATGGGCCAGGGGATGAAGAACAAGGGGCAGGTTATTTCTCCCTGGAAGGTCGTACGGGAAACTTGCAGCATGATCTTAAAGGATGGGAGGACTTTAACGGACACATGGCAGCAGCATGAGCAAAGGGACACAGGCGAAAAGAAGGAGAGCCATGCATTTCGGTTCTATGGCTAGAGAGACATAAGGGAACATGAACGGGTAGGTGGGTGGAAACACTGCAAAGGAAAGTTGAGGCCGCATCATGGAAGGCCATGAATGTCCAACCAAAGGCTCAGCCCTGAGTCAGCCAGCCAAGAGGAGTCCATGTGGTAGCAGTGTAACTGCATTTCCAGAAGACTCCAGAACTGCGTAGGATGGACTGGAGAAAGTGGAAATGGAATCAGAGTCCAGCATGACTACCATGGCAGAGATGAGAAGGAGTTGAGGCTTGAGCGAGGAAAGTAGAGAAAGGGGGACAGAGGAAAGAGAATGCGGTTGTGGAGTCATTGAACTTAATGATGAACATTATACACACTGCACATATTAAACATCTGAATGGAATTTAGAAAAAAAGAAATTATAGAATCAATTTTCAGTAGAAAATTTATAATTTTTTCTACTTATCTAACTTCTACAATTGGGATTAAAAATTCCAGGTAAAAACACCTTTGGTGACAGGCCCTCCTCATTCTCCATTCTAGCTTAAAGAAACGGTCTCACTGTAAAGGAAATCACATTCATCAGTTAGTATTCTAATAGTACTGTGTTCAAATCTTAAATTAAGGGGATGGAAAATCCAGCTCTGTTGTTTTCAATTTGAAATTTATTTCCACAACACAAGTGTTGTAAAGTGACCCTTTGCAGAGAATTTGCAGCCTTCCCTCTAGTTCTTTATATTTTAAATTGCAAGTGCCGCGCTCCCCCTTATTTGGAGAGATGAAATTGATGTTCTGAGTCACTGCCAGACATTTGCAACTAAGACTCTACAGCAACAGCTGCTCTGGATTTCCAACAGCTCAAACAAATGCAGAGCGCAGTGTGAGCTCTGGGTAATGACCTGGGAGAGAGGAAATGAGAAAGGCCAGGAAAGGACGTGTAATCTAAAGGCCACATTTTTTGTGTGAGGTATTCACATATCTAATTTCTGGTCTGAGACTGGGTAGCTGACATACCAAGAGCTTAGCTCATTACAAACAGAACTCGACTAAATAGGAGGTTGTAAAAACAAAAACAAAACCCCAAAACCCTGGGCCTGAGTAAATGCAGAACCATCAATGACTTCACTGGAAAACGGGGGCCTTACCTGAAAAATCGAGCGCACACACTCCCCTCTGGTGTTGTCCTTTCAATAGCGACAAACATTTTAGAGTTTGTGTGTCCCACACATGAATAGCAGCATCTCTTCCAACCTTAAGTAACAGGATGAGTGTTATTAACTACTTATAAATTTTAACAAGAATGATTCCTAAGAATCATTCTTAGAGCTCCTTTGAGTCAAGTGCTGCTCAGAAATCCAAAGCCACACATTTGGAGAGTAGGAAGACTTTCAGAAATCATCTGGTCTCATGCCGTTATTTTCCATTTGAGAAAATAGAGGCACAAAGAGTCTAACAGGCTCGTTCGGGGCATCAAATCGGGTGCCAGGCCAGCCTCACCTGGTACATGGCTCCCAGGCAAGGTACTATAAAACTCCAAATCAAATGTCCACTGTGCTTTTTGGGTTAGTTCGACATCTCTCTCTCCTGCCTTCTCAACTCCATGTACGATTCCACTTCTTGGTCAAGGAAGTCACCTGTATGTTGTTACGGCCCTGTCCTCAGAGTTCTTTTACCCACCTTAATTATTTCACTCATCCCAAGAAGGCCTGGCCCTGCTTCTCCCCCAGGAAATGACAGTTTCATGGCTTACTTGTTCTTAAAGTGGATTCTCCTTGAGGGGATACCAACTTCTCTCCCACTAATTCCCAACAACAGAAAAAATTTTAATAGTAAAGTGGTTTTCCTCACTTGAGTGTAATGGAAAAAAGAACCCTGTTGAGTGTAAGGACTATAAAAGGGGAAATGTGACATAAAAGCATGCACATAACGAAGCAGAATCCAGCTAACTCCTACACTGGTGTATGGAGGCCCAGTTACCCCTGGAGTGGCTGCTGGTGTACTGATTTGTCACCGGTTTGTCTCTCAGCAATTACAGGATAGAATGTGGTATCTCCTCAGGGGTTTACGCAAAGAACCAATCCCTGTTCCTTCTTTCAAAGGAAAGTTATTAAATACACATGAACCAAGCATCATCTGTTATCAGAACAATAAAAAGGGGGAGGGAGGAGAGTGAAATGTAAAAATGCAAAGTAGTCATCAATTACTTGTAAGAAACTTAATCATGGCAGCTAATTCAGAAGAGATGGTCTAATATGCAGTTGGTAGCAAACCAGTATGTCAGTTAATGGCACTTTGCTTTTGAAGGACTGTAATCCTTTCACAAATTATAAAAGCTATGGACTTTCCTCCCCCAAAATGCACATTTCTGGGGACTGACTCCTTTCATGCCCTCACTTTCACCACTGATCTCATGAACACGAGGCTATGAACTCTGTGCAAAGACTTCTCTACCACCTGTATGTCAGGTCTCAGAAACACTTGTTTCCTGTTAATTGCTGACCCTCATACCACGTGTTTTTCCTTGAGTTTGCCACTTACATGTTGAGAATCAGTTTAAGTCTTACCTGCAGTTAAAAGCCCATGATAAAACTGAACAAAAATGCAGTCTATACATTGAAAGAGTACAAAACTGAAAATACTACTAACATTACTACTTTGCCACAAGATAATAAATCTGAGTTTAACGGATTTTTTGTTTACGAAGTTGACTTTATCTCTCTCCTTTCCATGCACAAAATGACTGAATATAGGGCTCTGTTTTGAGTAGCTTTCCAATTATAGGTTCAATCCAAAGTTTAGGCATTCCAAAATGGGTCTGATAGAATTTTGTTTTTTAAAGGTTAAAATATAAAATGATGAATTAGTCAAAATTCATGGCTTTAAGTTTTACAAAAATAACTATTCACTAGATGTTATGCTAGTATTAAAAGATGGCTAATTCAATAAACACTGATTACCGAGGATATAATAAGTACTGGGTACACAGTGATGAGGAAAATATATTAAGACTGCATTCATGGAACTTAATTTAGTTTTAGCTAATCCTGTTTGTAGATATCATGTCAAGATGAAATCCCTCAGAGGCTTCCCACAGTGCTATAATATAGCGGATGAGGCTCCCACCATCACGACATGACCCAGCATTCACTGAATCTTCAGCTTCATGCCTCATGTTTGTTTCTATCAAGTATTTCTTGAACCAGTATATAAACTGGGCTCATAACTAAATCCTCTCCCTCTCTTTGGCGAGGCCCCCAGCTCAGAGGAGAGATCTATACCTGCCCAGTGGCCACATAGTCCTTCACTGGATGGATGGTCAGGCTGAGAATGTCATCATCGTGCCCCAGGTACAGCCTCTGGGAGTGTTGCTGTCTGTTGTACACCACGGCAACTGCAGCAATGTGATAGACCACTTCTCCAGCTTGCGTGTAGAACAGATTATTTCTACAGTCGTAGCCTCTGTAACTGAAGCACAGGTCCAAGAAATGCACAGTAGTTGAATGGACAGTGAGTCAACAGAGCAGGAGAGATCAGAAGGCAAAGCTACCATGTTGCTGCAGACATGCACAAGTAGAACCACAGGTATCTCCATGGTTGCTCGGGACAGTAATCTTCAACAGGGGTACGAGGATCTCTGAGGGCATGTGAGTCTCTCTAAAGGGCAAATCTGCACTGATAAGTTTAACAGAATTTGTTTCTAGATCCTCAGCTACTGTATGTGTTTTCTTCAAAGTGACCAGTTTGAGAACACACTTGTGAGGAGGTGCAGGTTTTCCCTTCCCACTTCCCCTTTCTCTACCACCTTCCTCTCACATTGGAAAGCCATTCCTTTTGTCCACATAGAATCTTATTATGTTCTATTACCCTGGAGCATGGAACCTTCCAGGAACACCAAAACAAACTCAGGTGTGGATGTTGAAAGGGAACAATTCCAATAACTAGATATGAAGTTCTTTTGTAAGTCAAGTGACTTCCAATTCTTTGCTTTTAATAAAATTGAAGAGTGATTTCATTGAATTGTCAGGTGATAGATCATTAAACTATATTTTCATGTGATGTATCAAAATTGCAAGATATACCTATCTGTGTTGCAAGAGGAGCTTAAAGAACTGAGTAAGGTTGCTATGGTAAAATTGCTTCCTTTCTCATCTACTTATTTATGTGAGTAAGCTTTCTCAGTGCTTGTAACTATTAAAAAATGATAAATGGGAATAGAATCAATACTAAACTCTATCACATTCTAGCAATAATATGTGTACATATATCTGAACTCACTGAAAAAAAATCTTATTAAAATTTTTTTCCAATAAAATTGTTTATATTTAGTAAGTACTTATTAGAATTTGTGCTATATTTATGTTGGTCTGATAAGCTTTGTACTAACAGTTGTAAAAAAAATTCAATCCAAAAAAGAATGAACACTTAGAGCAGCAATGTCCAATAGAAATATTATGCAAACCATGTAAAGTGAAAATTTTCTACATTAAAAAAGATAAAAAGAAACAGATGAAATTTATTTTAAGAACATTTAACCCATTATGTCTAAAATATTATGTAATCAATATAAAACATTTTTTAAGTAGGCTCTATGCCCAGCATGGAGCCCAACATGGGGCTTGAATTCATGACCCTGAGAACAAGACCTAAGTTGAGATCAAAAGTCTGACACTTAACCGACTGAGCCACCCAGGCACCCCTCAACATAAACATTTTAATGAGATATATTACGTTCTTTTTTTCATGCTAAGTCTTCGAAATCCAGTGTGCATTTACACCTACAACACATCTGAATTCAGACTAGCCATATTTCACATGCCCAGTGGCTTTAAGTGGATACCATACTAGATAACACAAGTTAGAGACTCAGGATCACAGGGAATTAAATTTAAATTGCGCTTATATACATTTCTTTCCTTGCAAAATGTATGATAGGGTGATCAATAAAAGCCTTTCAAGCATAAAAATAGTACATTAGTATAAAATTCTATGGGAAAAGTAGCATAGAAATATGAGTTCAGGTATTTTTTAAATTGGTGATGGTGGGAATCAAATATCTATGACATTTCAGTTCCAATTGATCCCCTTAAATGAATGATGTATTTACAAAGCACTAGATATTATATTCTTCACAATCATTTAACCTTACATTGAAAAATTTTAGATGTCAACTTAAAGTGTGGAAGGTTGTACATTATTTTTAAAAATTCATAACTATTGTGGGCATATGTGAGCAAAATTGTTTGAAAAAATATTGTCCTAGGTGGAGCCAGCTAAACAGAGCAGGAAATATGGGGGTAACAGGAACAGGGACAGGGGAGAGAACAGAGTGCAGTAACAATGAGCCGCAGAAACGTATGTGTATGGAAGTCAATGAAGCATGAAAAATCTAGATACACACATTGTTATGACTACAGGACATCAACTGAGATAACCGCACAGAGAATCATGTTTCTATTATTACTTCGGGTAAGTACACACTGGACAGAAGAGCCAGCCTGAAGTGGGACAGCACCAAGAAGAGGGGACCCAATGGTAGGCTGATAAGGCTGGTGACAGGCACCCACCCGTGTATGAACTGAAGTTTCAAGCTGTCCTCAGGAGCCTTTTCTCTTTTGAGGAAGGGCACTGCATGGTTTTTCTCTTTACTTTGTTGCTTTAGCTGAGGTAGATCTTCTTTGTAAACCTTAAAGCATAGCAGAAACATTTAGTTGAGACTCTCCGGGTTTCAAAAATATTAGTATCTTGGCATTCTCAGGAGGTCTTTAACTGCAGGAAATCAAGTTTTTGAGAACATAAGAAGCTAAAAATGGTCACCAGAGACAAAAGTCGGTCATTATATATAATGATAAAGGGGTCAACTCATCAAGAAGATATAACCATTTTAAATACGTACCCAACATCAGAGCACCTAAATATATAAAGCACATTCTAACAGAACGAAAAGGAGAAATAAACATCAGTAGTGTAATAGTTGGGGAAGGTGTCACTCTGAACAATGGATAAATGATGATCCAGACAAAGAATCAATAGGGAAACACCAGATGAAGAACACTGCAGACCAAATAACCTAGCAGACATATTCAGAACATCCCAGCCATCAGCAGCAGGATACAAGTTCTTCTCAGGATACATCAAATGCTAGGCCACAAAACAAGTCTCAATAAATTCAACAAGATAGAAATCACACCAAGTATGTTTTCTGGCCACCATGGTATGAAAGTAGAAATGATCACAGGAAGAAAGCTGGAAAATTCATAAGTATGTGGAAATTAAACCACACAATTCTGAACAACCAATGGATCAAAGAAGAAATCAAACAGAAAATTAAAAAAATATCTTGAGACAATGGAAACACAACAATGGGATACAGCAAAAGCGGTTCTAAGAGGAAAGTCTGTAGCTATATACGTATACTTTAAGAAAAAAGAAAACTCTCAGATCAACAACCTAACAATATACCTCAAGGAACGAGTAAAAGAGCATAGTAAGCCAAAAGTTAGCAAAAGGAAGGAAATAATAAAGATTAGAGCAGAAGTAAATGAAATAGAGAATAAGACAATAGAAGAGATGAACAAACTTAAGAGTTGGTTCTTTGAAAAGATAAACCAAATTGAGTACATAAAACATGAGAATGAAGTTTACTTTCTAATGAACAAAACTATCTTGAAATGCCTTTTGAATCATTGGGATTCAAGGTCATCTTGAGTTTAAATAATTTATATTCAGAAAATATAACAATTTTCTGGTAAAATAAGAAAGGAAATTACTCAATAAATTATCAATAAAAATCAATGAAATGTTTTGCTATAATTTCTTCTAAGGTGAGAAATCTCTTGGTGATTCTGACATTTGCAAAACACAGACCTCATGAATCATGGTGATCACTCTATGGAATTATCTTCTTTCATGATCTCATGCATCTTGACAGATCAGACTCTGAGATTTAGAGCAAAGCTCTTGGCCTAACCTAGGACCTAAATTGTGCTGCTGACTCAGAGAATATTTCCTGCAATTTAATCTAAATGTAGATAAAAAGTAATGTTTCTCTATCATGTATTCATGACCTACTATCGAGAGAGATCAATTTAACACATTCAAGACAAAGTAAATCTATTAATAATTGCTCATCTTCATAAAGGAAAAATTTCATTTGATAAAGCTATGTAACTAAAAGAATATTATCATAATACAGTCTCTGTTTAGGATTTAACCAAAAATCTTTAAAATTAAAAAAAAGGAAGTCAAAAGATACCTCATTACTGCTTTGTCTATTGCAGATGCAATGAACTAAGCTTGTAAAAGCTAAAGTTAATTATCCATCTGAGCCCATAATGCTTTTTTCAGCTCATCAACTACTCAAGAGAATGGAATTCTGGTCTTGGCATTTATTTCAACTGTTTATTTGAACAAGTCTCATAACCTCTATGGACCTAAAATTCCCATCTGTAGAACAGAATAAAACTTCCTGCTCAGGAGTAACTCAGCAACAAAAAATAATGTAAATCAAATAATACAGATGAAGCTTTAGAAAATAAGATGCCAGGGAGAATAAATAAATTCTAGGCATGGATTTCAGTAGAGTCAAGCCTTTTCATTCTTTCACTAGCACCTTTTTACTAAATACAAAACTCCCAACTAAAGAAAATTGCTTTTCTTTTTTCCCTGAATTTTATGTTCACTTTGCTTAAATTCCATTTCCCCTTGACACCAGAATATAATATTGTTTAGTGTGTGTGTATATTTCCACATTAATAATTTCCTTTCAATCTCACCTTTAGTTTTATTGCATAATACATTGCACAGTCAAGCTGATTTCATCAAGAAGGTGACCCAAACCATCAGTTGGACTGCCTTTGTACTAATATTTCAAACACAGAATCAATGAGTGATGATTATGGGGTGGAAAAAAAAGTCATCATCTGGAAAGGTTCAGTGCTTCTACAGAGGCAAAGCCAAGCAATACATTGAATGTGCACTTTGGAGAGAAGCCCAGATCCGCATTCTTATCAATAGTACGGATGATGTGGACGTGGACAAAGTACTTAACCTCTTAGGGTTATTGTGGGTTGGATTTGGTGTATGGAAAGCACAGGATCTGGCCCCGTAGAGACATGTGTTACCTGGCAGCTGCCCCCAGCCTCTATGGTACATCTCCGTGGGCAACACTGACAGTTGCTGTGTCTGAAACCTGAAATCTTATTCACTCCATGTTCAGGTACAGAATCTGCTTTACAGACATTCATGAAATGACAAGGAAGAAAACAGAACACCTATAGTTATCAACCATAAAAAAGGGACGAGTCTCCAGATTCCTGTGAAGGATGGCTCTCTTTAACACTCACTGTTTAGCACTAAAATGAAATGTATATTTTCAAAAAACTAGGACCCAATTTGATAGTAATTGTGCAACTTTTCTACTAGAGGTGATTTCTGACTGGAGAGATCATGCGTATTGTATTTGGGCTTTTACTTTAATTAAATGGATAATGGTCTTCATAAATGGTCTTCATAATGGTCTATGTAAGTTAAGAGAGAAAGCAGGACACCAGCTCACTTGCAAACTACCATGGCTCGGAGGCTACCAATTCTGTAAAGAAAACACATGCTTTCATGATCTGTTAAGAAAATGAAAAATTCTGTGGCTGACTTGCATATTTTTTCTGCAAAAAAAGACAGAAAACCCTGTCATGGGTTCAGTTTTAAAATTGGCTACTACCTTCCACTTAAAAAATTTTAATTATGTGAATGGGTTAAAGGCCTTATTTACAATCTGTACTTAAAGACAAGAGGCAGGTGATTTTCCTTATTCTTGTCTTGATTCTCTTCTGCCCAAGTACCAGCCATTTTTAGTGCAACGTCCAAATCCAATGAGATTGATGTTCTGGGCTGTAAGGCATTTATTATGAGGCTCTCTGCTTACTGACCTGGCGATCATAATTGATTTGAGTTTCTTGCTCAATATCAGAGTCCAATTCCGGCACGTCAGATAAATCCGAATCAGATTCTTCGCTGTAGGAATCAGTGCCACCTTCTGCAGAAACACAATCCGTGAGAAACAAGCAAAAGTTCGGAGACCCAAGAGAGCTTATAAATTTATTTAAAATATTTCCTTTCTTCTAGCAAAGTAAATTTAAAAATCACTATACCATAGTTTTACTTGGTGTAGGTTCTTAAAACATCTTTCCCCCCCCATCTTCTGGTTAAGTTCAGCATACTCCTTTCAGGAGCGTTAACAGATAAGGACAACTACCCCCCACCCTGCCCCTCCAAGACTGAACTCATTTCCATACTTTCAGGAGATAACAAATCTTTGGGTTTAAATCTTGCTTTGAAAAGAGAAAAAAAGGGAAAAAAAAAAGAAAGAAAAGGTCAGGGAAAGATTCTACCAAAATGAAGCTTGGAGCAAAAGGAAATCCAACTACTTAGTTCAGTAAATATCCTCTTAGCCTTTGCCATGTTCACCAAGTGGCAGTAATTGCCATGGTCAAAACCTGCAGAAACTCTCCCATTGAAAACATGTCCTCACCTGGTTTTAAATTTTATTAGCCGATTATTTCTGCTGACATCACAGTAAATAGAATGACTACATATCCACTGAACTGGAACACATTGGTCCCAATTGTGGACCATTGTTTGAACTTCATTCTGGAGCCAACTCCTACTCCCAAGGTTACTCTGTCCCCCTCTTGTCTCACTGTGTAGACCTGCCAGAGTTACAGTTGTCCTAAAGAGGCTGTAATGTCTTTGTTCCTGTTATTCTTAAAGGCTAATTCTTCATGTAAACCTTTGACCTTCAACTTGCATCTGGTATAAACAAAATCCTTTGAAGGAAGTTATTCAACTGACTCATATGTGTCTCAAAGTTGTTTTTCTTTTTAATTTTAAATTTTATTATAGGAATGAATTTTTCAAAATTGCTTTAACTCTTTATCTTCAGGAAAGATATCAGAACATTCTTTGAAATTTTTATTGATCAGAAAAAAAATGCTGAAAAATTACAATTGGTTTTTACCCTGGGGTGCAGTTTCCAGCAGACCGTTGCTGACACCTTCTGGAACAAATCTCCACTGGAAAACTGAGTGGTCAGCCCCTCCTGTGCTCAATACCCACTGAAAGTCATGGGACCAGCGGACATTTGTGACATGTGCAGAATGGCCCACATACTTTCTAAATTTGGCTCCTGAAAAGATATTTTCGAGGAGAAGATTAGTAATGAAAAAAAAAATAGAATTCATAGGTTAAAAAATTCAATTCCTCTTCACATTGAAAAGTAAAATCCTTAAATGTATTAGAAGATATAATTTTCAGTGTTACATATCATAGCAAGCCACGGCTCCCCAAATTCTCTCAATTATTCCAGTACGGATTAAGCTAAAAATGGCCTTAACATTTAAGTCCTGTGGCTGAAGACACATCTGAACCTGTTCCAGATAATGCCTACTGCTTCACTGGTTCTGAAAATAAAATGCTTCAGAATGATGATCTTACACATTCTTACTCAAATCCAAAATAAGACAGAGAGTCCTTTGTAATAGGGAAACAGAATAATTCTGTGGGGAAAAAAATCAAATTATTGTTCAGAGTCATGGATGTAGAGCTGGGAGAATTAAATTTTGTTCCCTTGCACTGATTGCTTTACTCAGTGAACACCATCCCCGGGGGAATGACTGTGGAAGGAAAGCTATTTGCACTTACGGCTGTAGCTGAACTACCAAAGTCTCGCACATGGTTGGTAGAGGGCAGCACAAAGGCAGTCATGAAAACAAGCCGGGTCCATCCTATCATGTGGAGGCCTAGTACTCCAAAGGCTACGGGAGATTTCAGGGGGCCAGCAAGCACTGCATCCCTCCTTCAGAAACAATGCTACCTACTGCAGGCCCTCTAACAGAACCTCTTTAATGGGGGAGAAAGCCATCTGTTCAACTGAAAATACTCATTGGAGAGGTAATGATTTAAATGTATATGAAGGTGAAAATGACCACACTATTTAAAATACCACCACGGAGCTGCCCCCATCTGAGCATTCTACTGTTTGCTTTTTCATTGTAGCACTTCTCATGAGATGTGTTTATATTTCCTTTATTGACTGTGTCCCCTCAGAAGAACAAAAGCTCCATGAGGGCAGGGATTTGTGCCTTTTTTATTTGTTGATGTATCTCCAGCCTCTTACAATAGCACGTAACAAATATTTATTGAATAAAAGAAGGCCACGTCCACCTCTTTCCAGGCTTTCCCTAGGACATGGTCACTTTACAAGGCCTCCCTTGGTTCTCTGAACCACAAGGATGTCTCAGGCCTCTGCCCTCATCTCTTCTCTGGTGGTCCTCTCTCCCATGGCTTTAGGTACTGTCAATATGCCCTCCACTGCCAAACATTCGTCTTCCGGCCCTCAATTCTCCCTGGACTGCTGATGGCCCATGTGCCACGTCCACTTGATGTCTAACGGTGCCTCAGATTTATCATGAACAACACAGACTAAGTTCTCCTTCCCTTCTCTTATCCCCATCCCTCTCTTTTTCAATCTCTCCCCTGAACACACACTTTTCCTTCCTTATTTTCCCATCTCCATAAATGGTGCCACCATCCACCCCACTGCTCAAGCCGAAAACTTAGGAGTCACCCTCAGTTCCTCTCTTTCCCTCTATTCCCACATCCATCAGCAAGACCTTCAGCTCTACCTTGACACTGTTTCCTAACCTCATGCACCTGTGTTCACATCTGTTCCTAATATCTTTGTCCAAGCCACCTCACCTCTCACCTGGACTTGTACAAGAGTCTACTTGAAGCTTCCCCATCCCTAATCCATCCCACATGATATCAAAGTGGTCTTTTAAAAACTTAGATTGGTCATGTCACCGCTCCATTTTAAGCCCTCAATAGTTTCCCTCCACACTTAGAGTAAGACGCAAATTTCTAACAGTGGCTACAAGGCCCTTCAGGACACGGTCCCCACCACCCTCTCCAGCCTCTGAGTACACAATGCTTCCCTCATTCATCACGCTCTAGCCACCCTGAACTTTATGTTCCTCTCCTGCATCAAGCTCATCCAAGCTCTACTGAAAGCCAACACTTTTCCCCTCAAGGTCCAGGGTTTATGCAACTCATGTCTTACAAGATCCAGGACACACTTATTTTGGGAGGGAGTTCTTCAAGGACTATGTGAGATAGAGAGAGAGAGAGAGAGAGAGAAGAGAGAGAGAGAGAGAGAGTGTGTGTGTGTGTGTGTGTGTGTGTGTGAAGGATTAATGGGGCAGCAGCACACAAGTCAGTCAAGTAGGAGAGCCTTCCCTTGGAGAAGGGCTGATGCCAAGGTAGTAAGACGTGGCAAATGTCAACAAGCAAGGCTTTGAATTTTTACCTCATGGAAGTTTCTGTATGATGATGGTCAAACAGAATGTAGTCTAAATGACATCAGGGGAAATTATCAGTATTGATACTGCTTATTTTAAAAGATTTGAAAACTGTCAAAATGAAATGAGAAAAACTGGCTTGGTGATGTAAAAATAAAAACCACTGTAGGCATTTTCATTAACTGCAGAACATTTGTGTCAGAAGACTGTGCAGCAGAATCCTTCGTACATTAATTGTAAATGTGTCAATTAACTTGATTGGAAGTTTTATTTAATCACAATGGAAAACTACCATGTTTGCTCAGCCTCCACACTTCTCATGGTCACTAGCCCCTGCTCATGTTTGGCTGTTACAGGCTCAAAGGTTGGGGGCATACCTGCCACTGGGACCCTGGGCCACAGGGTGACAAGTTCCACCAACGGTTACCATTCCTGTCAACAACACTCCTTTCAGAACTCCCCTGCCGGTAGTTCAGGCACAGAAAGGCCACAGAAGTCTGAATGTCTCTGAGGCAAACTGCAAGATTTATAAACCATGTGCCATGAAAAGTAGAACAAGTCAATTTGCTCAGAGAATATGGATACTTCCGCAGACTGCTGCGGAGGTTGTTATTACTCCCACCACACTATCACTCAGCTGTCAACCTTCCCTTACTCGGCAGATGTCTCCTGTGTGCCATCATCATCAGGACTGTTTTACATATCAGGCTGTCTCATTCGGACAGACAGCACTGCTCACCTCCTCCCTCCCCCTTCCCCCATTCTCATCAATAAACCCAAGATCTCCCTTTCCATTCCTATTTTCCAGACTCAAGACCACCCTACAATGTTTGGAGATACACAGGAAATACCAACTCTCCGTGAATTAACTTCTTCCCAAGTCCTGACTCTTGAGACCAACAGTACTGCTTCGGGTCCCAGTGATGTTTCTTCTCAATTCCCACGTTCCGTTCCTTCTGGTTGCCTAACTCACGTTCTGCAAGTACATTGCTCCATCTAACGGGATATGCCCTATTACTCAAAAGACTCATCAGAGAGGGGAGAGTGTGAATTAGGCACATTGAGGTAATTCTGTGCCTCAAGCATTTTAAAGTGATGGCCATTTTATCAAGTGTAAAGGATGTCTGCTTTGTTATGCGTTTTATGTTCAGTTCTCAACCATAACCGTTGCTGCTTCTGAACTGCCAGTTATCCGACAATGACTCTCCAATTACATTTTTCAGTCCCTTTCCTTTCTTAATTTAAAAATTGTTCAAGTGAGCGAGTTTTCAGGCCACAGCATGTCCCTACTGACTACTTTCTGAAGATCAGATTTTCAGGCTGGTGGGGAATCTCAGAAAACCCTGTGTATGGGCTTTGCCTCAACTTTTTTTTTTTTTTTATGTTATGTTAATCACCATACATTACATCGTTAGTTTTTGATGTAGTGTTCGATGATTCATTGTTTGCATATAACACCCAGTGCTCCATGCAGTACATGCCCTCTTTAATACCCATCCCGCCACTCCCCTCCCCTCTTGCCTCAACTTTTTAAGGAAGAAGAAGACAGGGTCATTACATAGCTAATTCAGTCACATACTACAAAGTCTGAAGGTGCCATAAAAACTGAGGTGACAAGATTTAACAACAATAAAACAGAACGACAAAACGCTAGAGGAGAATTTTTTTGAACCAATCTCCACTCTCAAAAATTTCACCAGTTATGTAAATGGGGTTTGCAAGATTAGTGCTACAACAAGGGGTCCGAACACCTGTGTCATCACCAGAACAATCACTTTCAGATTTTATCTTAAATACCTCTAAAAGGATTTTGCTTGGCTTTCCACGTGTAAACACAATTAGCCGTGAAGCATAAAAGAATTTTAATATTGTAATGTAATATATAATTTAAATTATGAATTTATGTAAATAAAAACAAAACTATGACTTATTTAAAATGTGAAACATGAATCTTCTCAATCACAAACTCGCTAGTAGTAACTCTGTGAACAAAACCTGCCTTAAATTGGTAAAATCCCATATTTTAGAACGTCAAAAGTAAATGACATCAACAACACATTTTCTCTAAAAGTGTTAAAGAGTAAAAATGAATATAAAGATGAAATGAATAATCTGCAAGAACAGACACCAAGAAAATCAGTCTTAATTACACTGCATATACATTTTAGATTAAATACTTACTCAATGAAATCTCTCTCTTGGCCTTACCTTTCTTGAGACAAGGAAATTTAAACAATTTAACCAGTCCAAAATCATCGCCAGAAACCAGCACGGAGCTGTTGTAATTTGCATCCACTGAATTGATGTCAGTGACATCAGTGTACTTTGGCCAAATTCCACTCACTTCAGGGCCTTTCACACAAGTCCAGGAGGCCCAGGGAATCCCTTTGATTTCTTCTTTACTTGTTAAAGGCTTCCCAGCTGAAAATTATCAATACATAGTAACAAAATGTTACATTTAAAAGCATATTCAAATTTACTTTATTCATTTTTCTTATAGAGGTTTATAGAAATTAAAAAAAAACCTCTATAAACCAAGGAACCTAAAGATTCTAATCTCTTTACCCAATTTGTGATTTTTTTTCTTCCAGCATGGTTTAAAGAGAATGCATGATCAAAACTCAGATATGGAGATGAGAAAGAAAATGATCATTGTACTCAATGTAATATCCAAAACTACTATACAGATAGTATGCTTTGTGTTATTGATGAAATGATTTGTATGAAAATATATATATCATATTTAGTCACCAACAGTTTGCCAGGTTTTTAAAAAAATTTATTCTCAACTTCTACTTTTCAAATTCAAAGATCCATAGAAGTAATTTTTAAAAATTTAGGCTCCAAAAATTTGTGTAAACATTTAATGGATATTATACAAATTTAAAAGCATTAGACAATGAAAATCCACCAAATTTTGATTAAGTAAATGTAAGTGGTTAGGGGAAAAGAGTCTTGACAGTTGTGCTTGGTATGTTCTCAAATGTATGGCACGATTCCCCGCTTGTACCAGAACCTGGTGAGGGAGGTCACTCAGGGGCACGCAAAGGCAGAAACACATGGATACAGAAATGCTTGGGAAAATGTCCTGTCATACACAATTCTAAAATTCAAAATCAAGACAATTTAGCGTACTACCTCGTAGTTTTTTCTTCAAAAATAAACAAATGTTTTCAAATAAAGAATCTGTGAGAACAGATGCTCTTATACATTACCTGCACACTGTCAAATTGGCACGCAGAAATTCTAGACTGACAGCGTCACATAAAAATTCATGAAGATGAACACAAATCAGAGTGTTGACAGAACACAGTCTTTAACCCAACAACGTTCCCCCTCTGGAAAATATAGTCCAAGGAAGTAACTCAGAAGAGGAAATCCCCCCCTATATGAAGATATTTGGAGATGCACCATCTGTACCAGCGAAGAAACTAGAAATAAGTTAAGCCCAAATGCTCACTAACAGGAGGACAAGAAAGCAAATTATGATATTATCACTGAGCAGGAGGTTACTTTTTTATTGCAAATGATAAACATGTATTCCATAATTTTTCACATATGTAAAATATATATGAAATAATTTCAAGCAAAGAAAGTAGACACACAGAAATATCTACCTAGGGATGGTGTGCTGGCGAAGTTGATAGGGCAGAGGTTCTTTAAAAAGCCATGGTTACATTAGATGGTATGTACTATTTTCCAATAAAAATTAATTTTTCAGGAAAAATTTTAAGATAAAATATTTGATGACAAGATTCATGATGTTAAAATTTTCCTCATGTTAAAAAAAATCATTAGTCAAACATTACAAAACAGAAAATTGTCTTTTATTTCTGCCATTTTAGTATTACGAACTAAATGTCACTAAATGTTATAGAAGTCTGATGAATCTCTCCTCAAAGAGATAGTGGAGGTGACAAAAATTGTACTTTTTAAATCCCAATTAGCATATTTCACCAAATAATATCATAAAGACTTCCAATTATGAAGAACACAAATTTCAGACTAAAACCATCATAGCAAATGAGGACCGTGATCCTCAAATGTTTAGCATTTTGGGGCATTTTTCTAGGATATCTTTCCTTTCAGTTATCTTTAGGCATTCTTTATAACTTCTAGCTATCTATCCTTTGCCCATCATAACCACTGCAAATATTTCTGTCCAGTCTTTGCCTTGTCTTTTCATGATTTCTTTCATTACACAGTGATTTGTTATTTTAATATGTTCCAATTTATCAATCTTTCCTTTGAGAGTGTGAGATTCGGGGGGGGGGGGTCGTGTTTCTGAGAACACTCCTTGCCCTGAGATCATGATGACGTTCTTATATATTTGCTGCATGTGGTTCAGAGTTTTGATTTTCACAAACATCCAACGCCTGCAGGACTTACACGGCATCTTGTAGAACAGGCGTTCTCCTGCGCCGTCATTGGTCTGCAAGTATTTGCTATCCAAAGACCAATCAATGTGGGTGATGAAACTAAGGGACTTGCTGCATTCTCCAATTTTCTTATACCGCTGGGCAACGGCATACACATCCACTGGGCCGTCATTGGATCCCACCGCGAGGTAAGAGCCATCTGGAGAAAATTTCATTTCATGAATGACTTCTTTTCGATCTTTGATATGAACCACTTCTGTCATATCTCTATAAGAATAAAAAGCAGCAATAAAAAGTGATAAGCAGCAAATCTAGAAATAGGAACCCCAAGCCATGTCTCAAAATTTGTATGTCAGAGAAAAAATGGTTTTAAAAGGGAGAGAACACCTATAGGAACTAAAGGATTAACTTTTGAAGAAAGATATAAAATACTATTTAGATTCTGGCCATTTTAGGCAAAATTAACCAACATTTGAAATATTTAAGGTTTCCAAAATAAAAACAATGAAAAAATTTAATGAAGTGCCTATTTGCTTTCATGGTTAATTACATATTATTTTCCCCTAAAACTTTTTGCCTTGAAAAATTGCAGTTTGTAACATTGTTTTAAAAATGTGTCCCGGAGAAAGGTAAACTACGTCAAGGTTACTTTTTTAATATTAAATCTTATGTAATTATTTAATTTTCACTGTGAAACTCAACAATTCATATATCAGTTCACCCAGATTTTGCATCCCTTTTGATCAGATTCTGGTAAGAACTGCTGCCCTCATTTGAAACTTGCCACCATGAGACAGAATTCTGACTAGCAGGTCCCCTGTGCCAACAACTTCTTCCACTCCCAACAAAATCAGTGCACAAATAATGGCAAATATTAGCTTCCACATAATTCCCCTCACCTGCTATCACTTATTAATGGCATTATTGTTTACTATACATACACTATACGCTATGTATATACTATATAATATACTTTGCTATAATATCAAATAGGGTCTTGGGGTTTTCTTTTTTTTTTTTTTTTGGCTTGGGAAATCCATCAATAAAAATCCATCAAAAACAAAAGAAGATCTGGTAATTGGCCATCTTTTCAAACCATGACTCAGCAGAGAAAGAAAATGTTGCCTACCAACTCATAATAAGTTATGTGTGGCTGCTAAATGAGAATTTAGTGTAATAAACTGTGCCAAGGTCATTTTTCAAAGCTATATAGAATCTTCCATGTGCAAAACATGCAGTATCTAATTTACAGCTGCATTTTCCTTCTGTAATCACAAATTGTGTAAGCCAAAAACCAACCAGTGTGTTTAGAGAAATTACATGCATGAGTCATAATTTTTGTCCAGTAAAGATAGGATGTTAATAAATATGAAATATTCTATTTAAGTTTTCATTATACGTGGAAGAAATCTTTTACTCAAGCCCACCTCTAAAAATCTGGCCATGCTGGAGCCTTTCTCATTTCTTTCTCTTTTCTTGGCTTCCTATAAGCCCATAAACCTCTTGGGACCAGATGAGCTTGGGAGTTCATTATTCACTGGGTTTTAGAAAGGTTCACATGCAATATATTATGTAACATCCCCAGTAGGAGTTAGGGCGGCACCCCATATTCAACACATTAATATTTTTGGGGGCGCCTGGGTGGCTCAGTCGTTAAGCGTCTGCCTTCGGCTCGGGTCATGATCCCAGGGTCCTGGGATTGAGCCCCGCATCGGGCTCTCTGCTCTGCAGGAAGCCTGCTTCTCCCTCTCCC